CACTTTTTAAAGAGTCCCAGGAACCTCTTTCAGAGCCCCAACCATCTCTCCAGGACACCTGACACCACAGAAAGCACTTAGAGCGCTTGGGGAAACCTTAACCCTGACACTTAATGACCACTAAAAGCCTAAAAACCACTTTCAGACCCACTGACACCTTTTAATTGCACTGGGAAGACTTCCAGTTGCCACTGAAATACTGAGAAGTCCTCCTGAATCGTCCCAAAGGACGCGGAAAACCAGTTTATTACCGCAGATATAAACGTCAAACACCTAAAAACCTTTTGGAAACAAACCCAAAATGCCACAACAATTCATCATAGGGCTTGATTAATACAGCTCCATTCTCTTTAAAAGGAACAAACAGTAAACCACCAGGACAGGTCCAGATATTCTCTGATCATCCAGTAACAATAAAGATGAGCAGAAACTCTCTAAAAGCACGTCTGAAATGACTGAAGCCTCTTTAAATCTACCTGAAAAATGAGTCAGAAATCATCTTGGACCACTAGGACAATATAAATATTCCTCTAGGAGAAAAACCTCTCCATCCTTAGACTAAGATCCACCAAAGGCATTAAATTATCCAAAGAACATCTGTAACCCTTACAGCTCTAAACTAAAGACATTAGTGTGTTGGATTTATTTACATTTGCAACAACATTATGTATGATTTTAGTTTAAAACAATGGAAATCAGAGCATGTTTGTGCTGTTTACAGGGGAAGTGAAAGCTTCAGGATTCCCTGGAACTTAAAGCTGAATTAAACTAGTTTGTTGATCTGGTTGGAGTATTTTATGGGCCTTGAGGCAGGTTTTTTCTGGACTCAATCATCTAAAATTCTTCTGAATTTCAGAAAGATTTGGAATTTTCTGACACAAGGATGTTGAAAAAAAAAGTTTGAATCTCCCCAAGAACTTCTGGAAACAATAAGATGCTAAAGTTTCCTAATAAACGATGGAAACTAGTTCTAGTTCAATCAAATATATCTGCACACATCTAATGTCTCAGACTTTTACATCTCTGAT